ATTGTCAATTTTCGTACATTTTTTTATTGGAGTGTTTCGTGCATTCAGCGGCGCCGCTAGACTTTAGGAGGCCTAAGGCAAAATCCGTCGAGGAGGCGTTAGATAGGGTATAGTTAGTCCTTCAAAATATACTTAGTTCAACTGTGGGGTTCTCGGGAAAAAAATGGTATAGTATCTTTGCACAGATTTGATAACATAAATGTAAATTTCAAATATCTAGTTCCTAAATTTGGATTTTAAGTGAGATTTTTAGAGATTTTGTATACATATTTCGCTAAATGGCATAGTGTTTTAGTTAATTGAAATAGGCAAAAATATATCACTTACCTGTCGTTCAATTGCTATTTTTTTTCTTTTTTCTTTTCTGGTACAAGGAGACTATGGCGAGGGAAAGGAAGAAAACAGGATGGAGAAGATTTAATTGATTGACAGATAATCGAATGCCCAACACTACCAATGACGACGCCAAAAGACCAAAAAACACCTCACACGCAATAGAACTTTACCAACAATAACTATTGAATTGAAAAATGTTATCAGTAATGTATCACAATTTCCCAAACTAAAAATTAAATCAACGTATGCATACTCCATCTACACAAATATAAATAAAACTATTTTAACTGAAATGTATTCAACGGCTTCAACATTCCCCCCGGGATGAAGGATGCATTCAGGCTTCAGAAAGCTACACAAAATAACCCTAAAGTTCATGAGACAAATTAATGAAATATCCAAAATTAATATCCAATTAAATTTAACGTTAACTAATAAAAAAAATAAAAAAAACTATTGTGAAGGCAAGGGGCAAACCTTAATAACTGGTCTGCGATAAGTACCATATTTGGTACGGACGTCTACAACTCGTACGACTTGATCTTTTCCAGGATACACCTTTTCTATAATCCCTAAGGGCCATTGCAATGGTGGAGTATTTGGCTGTTCTACTACAACAATGGTTCCAATTTGCACGGGGTTATGTTCTGTGTTCCATTGCGATCGTACCTGTAGAGTTGTGAGGTATTCTAATTTCCACCTTTTCCAAAAATCGTGTATCATCCGATCGATGAGTTGAAAGCGATCTAATCTGCTAATATTAATATTACTATAGTCGTATGCCGGAAAATGCGTCAAAGGGCCTAAGGTTAAAAAATGCGCTGGAGTCAAAATGGTGGGTTCAGACGGATCAGAACTAAGAACGCATAGAGGCCGAGAGTTCAGTACACATTCAATTTGGACTAATAGAGTATTGAATTCCTCATACGTTAGTAGCTGATTGTGTACGATTTTATTTAAATGGGTTTTTACGGATCTCACGTTTGCTTCCCACTGACAGTCCACCCATATGTGGTGCTGAGGGCGGTATCAATTTCCACTGAATTTCCCGTTTAGCTAATTCATTTCGGACAGCATCATTATATTCTGGAGATAAGATGAATTTGTATAGTTCGTTTAAACAAGCCCTAGCGCCTATAAAATTGGTCCCATTGTCGGAGTGAATTTCAATAACGACTCCTCTTCTAAATGCTTGAAGAAAATGATCTGTAGATAAGCTAGTGACTAATTCCAAATGGACTGCCTTCGTTGCCATACAGACAAATAAACAGATGTAGGCTTTAATTGGGCGAACACCTCTTCGTCGATAGGGAATGATCGAAATTGGGCCAGCATAATCACAACCGGTATGAAGAAAAGCCTTTGCTTGTCGCACCCTACAGGCAGGTAAGTCTCCCATAATGGGAATTTGGGGTTTGGGTTTTAAACGAAAACAGGTGTTACAATTTTGAATTCTGCGTCTAATAATACCACGAGCGGCAAGTATCCAATATCGCTGTCGTAGCAAAGATAGCACTAAATGAGGTCCCGTATGTAAGTTCAACTGGTGATAATGATCGATGAGAAGATCTACTAAGTGCTCTCTTTTGGGAAGTAAAATAGGGTGTTGCACATCAAACTCAGAGTCTGAATTACTAAGCCTACCACCCACTCTAATAAGATTGTCATTCAAAAACGGTCGCAAGTGTCGTAAGGAAGGTGGTAGAATCCCCTTTGTGAGCAAAGCGAATTCAGATGAGAAATGCTTGCGTTGTATCAATTTGATCAGCGCTAATTCTGCAGTACGTAAATCTAAGACGGATATACTATTTTTATTAGGTAATTGTCGAAGAAATCTAAGAATGTAAACTACTATACGTAACAATTACATCCATTTCGAGCAACGTGCTATTAAAGAATAAAATGGATTTTCCTGGCCTTGAGAAGCCACCAGGGACAGTTTCATTTCTGATTGATTTTCTTTTGCGTGGACTGTACGAATGGGCCATTTCGAAACATCCATTTTTAGCCATTCCGGACCACTCGCCCAACATCGATTATTGATGAATTGGTAAGGAGTCAAACCTCTAGATAGACAATCACTTATATTATCTTTACCGTTTACATGATACCACGAGGAGAGGTCTAGTTGAGAACGAATTTGAACAACCCTATTTGCTATGAAAATTGGCAATTTCGAGGGACAAGTAGCAATCCAGCTAAGGGCGACTGAAGAGTCAGACAAAGCGTAAAGTTTGCGAATATCTAAACGAGATTGGTAACTATCTACTATAAAATGGAGAAGCTTAGCAAGCAGATGGGCTGCACAAAGTTCTAGTTTCGGTATGGTAACAACCTTTACAGGGGACACCTTTGTCTTAGCAACGAGATGATGTCCTTGAGTTCTATCTCCCATACTAACAAGATATACTACTGCCCCATATGAGGTTAAACACGCATCTGCAAACCCAACTATGACTACAGGCTGATTCAAAGTAACGCCGATATAACGAGGTATCTTAAATTCTAAGATGGCAATTGAGAGTTTATTAAATCCCATCGCTGGGTTATACTGGGAGGACATGGTGTGTCCCAATCTAATTGTAGAGTCCAACATTCTTTGACCAGGAGCTTCAGTAACAAAGTTACCGGTTCAAGGAATCCTAGAGGGTCATAACATCTTGCAATTGTGGACAGGATATTCCGTTTTGTACACGCTCGACTCATTATGGTGAAAGAGAATGACAAAAAGTCGGAGGTGGGATTCCACTCTAAACCTAAAACCTTAAGGCTATCATTCTCAAAGTATATGGGACTAGTAATACTATCTTCTGTAGGAATATATTCGCGCAAAGCTGAAGAATTTGTGGCCCACTTTAGTAATTGAAATCCACCTCTACTGAATAATTCCTTTAACTCCGAATATAATTTTATGGCTACGCTTGGTGAAGGTATGCTCGTCACAAGATCGTCCACGTACATATCTCTTCGCACTATTTGGGACGCTAGTGGAAAAGACGATTCTTCATCATTTGCGAGCTGACGCAGAGTTCTAAGGGCTAAAAAGGGGGAGCATTTAACTCCAAAGGTTACCGTATTTAATCTATAAACTTCTATTGGTTCCAGTGGCGAAAACCTCCAAAGTATCTTCTGGAAATTCCGATGATCCGTGCGAATGTCAATTTGTCGGTACATTTGCCGAATGTCAGCAGAGAGAGCAACTTGAAACAGCCTAAAATTTAGCAACATTGTACAGATGTCCGATTGAACTTTAGGCCCAGTGAATAAAATATCATTTAAGGAATAAAGCGACGTCGTTTTACACGAAGCGTCGAAAACAATACGGACGGGCGTTGTGCTAGACCCAGGTTTAAAGATGGCGTGATGAGGTATAAAATAGTTTGGCTCTATGGGTGAATGTTCCATTACTTTAGACATATGACCTTGTGTTAGATAATCTTGAATAATACTCGAGTACTGTATCCTAAGAGTCTCATCCTTTTCCAATCTTTTTTCAAGGGATAAAAATCTACGGTGGGTAGTGGCGTACGAATCACCTAAAAAGGAACTATCTATTTGAAAGGGCAAAGCTACGGTGTAGCGACCGTTCGCTTCCCGTTTATAAGTTGATTTAAAGAAGTTTTCACACTCTATATCTTCCGGATTTTCAAATGTTAAAGCGGGTACATCTTCAAGCTCCCAAAATCGCTTTAATAATGTTTCAAGCGAGGAATCCGTAGTAAGGAAAAAACTATGTAAATTATCAATTGGGGAAACCACAGGTGCGCATCCCATTAGTACATATCCAAGTTTTGTTTCTATGGCTAACGGGGTATTCGGAGGACCAGTAATGCGTTGACTACCGAGCAATTGGGCAAATAAATGAGCCCCAATGATTCCATCAACTTTGCCTGGAACATGAAACTCATCGTCTGCTAATGGAACCTTCTTTATATAGGTCAGAACACTTAGATCGACCTGAGATGTGGGTAGTTGATCAGCAATTTTGTCGACGACGAGCACGTCCAGCGTAAACCGTTGGGCTGCATTAATTTTGGAAATGCAAACTGTGCTGGCCCGGCCATGTACGAAGCTTCGATTAGACCCAATTTCGAGAACTGTAGTCTGACAAATAGAGGGGCGTAATTTTAAACGACGACTAAATTCTAAAGTTAAGAAATTGGCGTGACTGCCACTATCCATTAAAAATCTACCTTCGTGCAAATTCCCAAAGACGTCTAATACGTTAACTTTGGCCGTAGAGAGTAACACCGTACTATTACAAATATCGTTATTAGGGGTGATTGAATAACAGTTTAAGGAAGAAGAATTGGCACTATCAGAGGAAGTTCCACTACTAATGGGAGAATGAGTGTTGCGAAGCGAACTGTCTGTTATCGCAATTTCTAATTTACTATCGGAAGGTTTCGACTCTACTTGTCGTTGAAAATGTAGCAAGGTATGATGCTTGAGATTGCAAATTCTACAACTATAATTGCTTTTGCAATTAATAATTTTATGAAAGGCTAAGCAATTTAAACATAAATTATTACTGCGTGTAATTTTGTAGCGTTCTTCGGGAGTCTTTTCTAAAAACTTCGGACAAGCTGTAAGACCATGAGCACTACTCTTACAAAATGCGCACTTTGAGGGCGAATTTTTCCGGGCGATAAACGTATGGGTTGGCTTATATCTGTTGCTCGGGGTGGAATTACCCTGTAGCGTTTTATTACAAAATACAGTAAAAGAACTATTAGCGATTTGAAAATATAACGTAATGTCAAATATTAATTATTTATTATTTTACCTAGACAACCACCTATATTGTCATGGTCGCCACAACCCTTTGCATGGCTATTAAACGTTTTTGTTTCTACACTACTAGTTCTTGAACAAATTTTTGCCTGCTCCTTTATAAAAATGATGATATCATTATAAGAGGGCATTTCAACATTTCTACGGGTATTTTCTAACAAGCGTTGTGTTTCTGGATTAAGTTTTTGCAGGGCTAAGTAGGCGAAAATATAATCTGCTAGGTCTGGTATATCAATTTTGCGAAGTGCAGTTACGGCTGGATCAAATTTTTCTAGAAACGAATCTAATGACTGTACATTTTCTGTTGAACTCTGCTTGAACGTAAGTAATTGGTCTAAAAGAGAATTAGCTATAGAACGCTTATCTTCGTATTTATCTATAAGTGCATTGAGAATTATTCTATAGTTTTCTCCTGTAGGTGCGATACCTGAACATACCGAAAGGGCGTTATCTGTTAGACAACCAAGCAAATAATGAACGCGATTAACGTCACTTAAATCGGGATTATTATGGATCATACTATTATAACATTCTATAAACCTAGGCCATTCTTTACTATCACCACTAAATTTAGGCAAAGGCATTTCGGGTAATTTGCGAATTGATTTACGGTCTTGACGCACCGTGGAAACGGGTGTAGGACGGGTACTGTAACTATCGATAACCTTGATTGCTACATATTCAATACGACAAACTAAATCGTCAATGGTTTCTATAAGTTTAAAGTTAGGAACGAATTCTTCATCTAACTCGCATTGCAAAAGATTGATCTCGTCTACCAGACTACCACTGCTAATAATTTGGATTTGGTTTCTGATAATGATGCGTACCTCATCTTAAAATATGCAACTTTCTCAGTCGTTGAAATGTCCCTACTATTATCATACAAGCGTTGAAGACCAGCGAAATATTGCTCCTTTTTTGCATTCAAAATCTTTAAGCGCTGTTCTTTTTGTGTCGCCATCGTTAATCACAAAAACACCAATCTATCCCAGATAGAATGTCAAGCTCAAAAGTCAAAACTATAAATTGACGCGTATCAAAACAAATTCTATCACATAAATGGAATAGGCAAACCAGATTGAAGAAACTGAATGTTATCTTCAATTGCAGAGAAACTTTATCTCGAATCTAACCCAATGAAATTTACTATGAAATATTGCGTGTGAGAATATCTAATACTATATAAAAAAGAAAATCCGGTTCGATTTGGACCAAATGTTTTAGTTAATTGAAATAGGCAAAAATATATCACTTACCTGTCGTTCAATTGCTATTTTTTTTCTTTTGTCTTTTCTGGTACAAGGAGACTATGGCGAGGGAAAGGAAGAAAACAGGATGGAGAAGATTTAATTGATTGACAGATAATCGAATGCCCAACACTACCAATGACGACGCCAAAAGACCAAAAAACACCTCACACGCAATAGAACTTTACCAACAATAACTATTGAATTGAAAAATGTTATCAGTAATGTATCACAATTTCCCAAACTAAAAATTAAATCAACGTATGCATACTCCATCTACACAAATATAAATAAAACTATTTTAACTGAAATTTATTCAACGGCTTCAACAGCATAGTTTTCCAGTGCAATTCTAACAAAAAATGCAGTTTTAAGAGTTCTGTTTTACTGGTTAGAGAATTTTATACTCAACAAAGAAAAGTAACTACACCTTTTTTATAAAGGATGTAGTTTTCTTGTAAAATGCCAAAATCTAAAAAAATGCACTTTTAGGAATGGCACCTCTCCTAAAAAGGTTTACTTTTGGTCCAATATAATTATAATCATGCAACTTGCATAAACCGTATGAAATAGTGTATCTATCGTACTTACTTACGTCTAATCTGTTGGCTTGCCTCTTTTGGCCAGGTCACTGCTGTTTAAACAAAAGAAGAAAGCATTAGGTTGTGGTTCAGAGAACTACAAACTTTTCTCTGTGATAACAATTATTTGGATATTTTAGATGACCCCGACCGTATATTAAACGGAGGCGAGTCTGGATTCCCTATGTGTCCAAAAACAGGAAAGGTATTAGCTCCGAGGAGTTGGAAAAACCTAACCAGATTAAAAGTGGTCAAGACAAAGAAAATATAACTGTTTTAATAGTTTTCACTGCTAGCGGAAAGATATGCCCGTCATTGATTGTTTTAGCAAATGATTTCAACAAATGGTTGGTTGAAAACAACATCAAGAAGCCAGTTATTCTTTCTATCGATGGTCATAAATCGCACATGACAATGCCCCTGAGCGAGTTTTGTGAACAAAGCGGCATTATTCTTTACGCCCTTCCCCCTAATACAACGCACATTCTCCAGCCGGCGGATGTTAGTGTGTTTAAGCCACTTGAAACCGAATGGAAAAAGACCGTACAGCAATGGCAGAGTCGCCACGAAAATGTCCATTGTTCGATCACTAAAATAAATTTTTGCAAAGCTTTTCAGGAATATCTTGGGAATGTCAATATGATAAACCACATAATTAAAGGTTTCAGGAAATGTGGCCTTTTCCCCCTCAACCCTGATAGTATTGACTATTCAAAATGTGTAAGAAACATTTTGGAAACTCAACGAAATACAATTATTCAACAAACTCGTCCAGAGAAAATTTTAGAAATTGATATCCGAGCATTTGAAAGAGCCGTAAAAGAAATTCGTGACAAATTGGTTAGCTATTTTATCAATGTGGATGTTCTTCTTCAAGAGATTGGAACCTTACGTAATTCCAATTCATCTGTTGCCATAACTGAAATGGGCCAGCCAGAGGAACATAATATACTCGAGGAATCTTCCCAGGAACAACATCTCGAAAAACTTAATTTTCTTGACAATATTGTGCCAATGGATGACGTTACTATAATTCCTGTAAGGAATATTATTTTTGTGCCTACGGAAGACAAAAACCAGCAAGCAAGTGAATTGGAACCGTCATCACAGACTCCGGGAGAATTAAACTATAATCCCAACAGCCCATACCTGGTTCAACAAAGGGAAGTAATGAATTACTTGCATTGGTAAACGAAGTAAATGCTAAATGTCGTCTTGCCAACAGAGGACAAAGAAGAAGCGGATGGAAACGCTATTAAATACACCAGAAGAACTAGGATCGCTGGATTTCCATTTCCATTACCGAATGGTAAATAATATAAAACGTTTTTATTTTTGGATTACAAAGACATGTTCAACATTTTGTTAAGAAATGCAACCTTTGTCAAAAATGTAGGACTCCATAATTAAAAATCAGCCTTTGTGCATAACATCATGGTGCAAGTCCTTACACTATGCCGGCACTTATGACTAGTGTCAATCTAAAGGCCGCTTTACATACTGCAATTCTTCATGCAAGACCATGCAATACGCAATAAAACTTGCCCAGAAGCATGCGCGTTTGAGAAACAGCTGATTCATTTTGGCAATTCACTTGCAATTGCAGGTTAGCGGTCGCGCGCGATTTTTATTGCACTTGCACGTGATATTTTGGGGGAAAGTATTGACAACGCCAGGTTCTAGAATTCCCAAACGTTGAAACTAGACTTTGTTATTATTACTACTATTACTACACAAATTGAAGCTGCGACTGCCTTTTTTCGATTAAAGTGTCTATTCATTTTTACTCAAAACGCATTCAGAATTATAACAACACCTGATGAATTTTGAATAGAATAAAGCTTTTAGTTCAATTTTAAATGCGAATGTTGGTAACAAACTATTGCAAAAAGAAAATTGCCGCGTGTAAAACCAAAGTGCAATAATTATTGCATGTACAGTATTTTTGCAATTAAACTTGCTGCAACTGTATTGCACAAAGAATTGCAGTATGTAAAGCGGCCTTAACAAATTTCTCAAGTATATCTCTTTAAATGGTCCATGCCAAAGCTCTTCTAATTGCACGTTAAGTCTCAATCAGAACTGAACTTGAACGTAATACAAAGTTCATATGTGTGTTAAATATATCGGAACTGGTTAAAAATGCTTTCAACGGAGCATACACCGTAAACTGATCGCTACCATAAAACAAAACAAAATAAAACCAAAACCTCGTAAAAATTTATTCAATTTGTAAACGAAACGGATGCCTAAGTCAATTTTAATCAGCATTAAAGCAATGAATTAATGCAATTTCAAGCTTAGATACCCTCCATCAAAAAGAACGCTTCCGCTTATAACGAAAAAATTGTTTAGGGTGCCTGATATTTGCGAGGAAATAGATATCTTAATTTATTACTAATCGAATTAGTTTAATGGTAGAGGCAATCAAAACAGAGAAGTTTATGGTCGATAAACTGGTATACAAATATGCAATTCAGAGGACATTCCTGTACTGAAATGTTAACGACGAGCAGAGTGCTGAACGTTTGGTTCAATCATATTCTAACTCAACTGTTTTATTGTAAAGAAATTGCGTTATATTCGGCTTTGAGCAGCTTCCTTTTCGGTGTCGAAGTAATTAAATTCTGTTTTTTATCGATGTTGAATTTTTTATTTAAAATACCGGGGTGGGTTCCAGTTCTATGAAATGATGTTTTTTTCAGAGTGTGGAAATTTTGTTCATTTTTAATCAATCAAGATCCTAACTGATTTTTTAATCAAATTACGCATTCAACCATTATATGGAGGTGCGGGATGGTCATTCATGCAACCAGTTTACACGAATTTTATTATTCTGCACATTCTATACGCTTTATTCTTGTGTGCATGTTTTCATCTCACGACATTAGTTTTGATAATACGTTTGTTTGACAGCATGGCACAATTTTCGACATTCTCGAGCTTAAAATCGTACTGGATATTGTAGCAAGTTCCTTGAAATTAAAAATTTGTCTATGTATTTGTTTTTACCAATGACTATGACTACTACATGTTAACATCTTGTCCTCGCGATAAACCACATTATCGGTTTATACAGGATGTTTCACGCAAACCGTTATCTAAAAGTATTCAGACTCGCATTGATAATTTAAATCTGAATATTTGCATATCAACATAGTTTTTCATGACCTATCGAAAGGAAATATTATCATGATTGTCTCACTTACGGTTTTACCGAATGTCGATAGCAACTTTTCTATTTTAAATATTTTGTTGCATTTTCGAAACCTAGATGAAAATCTACGTCGTTCGATACAACATTTCTCTATGTCCAGCATCAAAGGTTTTCGAGTTATTCAAGATTTTTCAAATTTTTTGACATTTAACTGCTGTTCTTTTGAGCCCTCTACTCCAATGATTCCAAACTTTGAATAAATCACAACAAAAGACTTTTTTTGAAATACCAATTGTTAATTCGAGACATTGGTAAAATTCTCTGAAATTTACCGTAAGTAATGAATTTATATAGGGTAAATTCCAAGCGCCGGAGGAACACTGGGGTCTATTTTTTGGAAAACTTTTTTGAGTTCTGATTATAACTCCGGATCGGAACTTGAGAGTCCTCTAATTCTCTAATAAGACTCTCTTCTGGACGATTGGTGTTTGGACTGGAGTCCCCTCAATTTTTAAATCCTAATTTTTGAATAAATTTGAAATATGGTAATTTCACATAATTATAAAATTACATTTAACAAATTTTTCGTATTTCGCCAAATAAAAGAGATATTGAGGTGACCCTCTTATTTCGAACGTACTGTATAGTCATGTAACTTAAATTACTGCTGTGATATTTTGCAAATTAATGCAATCCGTCCTATTGAATAATGGGTCAAAATGTTCCGGGACTAACCAATAAAATACAATTTTTGCGCGATCGGTCATTTCTGACTATTTACCATGGGTGTTTCTATGACAGTACGTAGAATTTACCAGTTGCTATGATTACGACGACGCCAAAATTACTTACCGATCTAAAAACAGAACAGCAAAAATACTTACCGTACATTAAACGTACAATTTGTGCTGTTGTTTCCTATAGCAAGACGCTCATAAAGTCATAAAGGAAGTGCAAAGCTAGTAAACTACATCAGACACATGCACATTTTTATGAAATTATTAATTTCAATTTTGACATTTAAACTGGTTACCTAGTGATGTACACCATACCACTTCGATCATTTCGATTTATTCTGCTCGTTAATTTCTTAGTGCATATTTATATTGGTTGGATAATTTTAATTTAGATCGCGCAAAAAATGTTATAAGCACGTCGAACGTTAAGGGTTACCGTTCTCAGACAATAATTGTCTTCGAACGGTAAAAATCCCTTACCGTTCTGCGTTCTCCATACTTAATATACTATTACAGATTTTTGCAAATTTTCTTCTCTACAATTTTTCTCTTGACATTCTTAAAATGCTTAGTTTTAGAGTTATTGAGAAAAGTTTCAAAAAAGGTAGATTGTACGCCACTCATGGAGTGGTTTTGGGGTGACGGGCTCAACGCATCGGCGCTGGGGTTTCAGATGGCATTTAATACCTTAAAACAAAGTACCTTGCCAAATTTCGTCATCCTGTGCTATAGTGATACGATAAGTAGATGATTATAAACTATTTCAAAATGTATTCTAATCTCTTAAAGCTCTTGACACGTAGGTATAAAAGCGCGTGTAGGCTGCCTCGCAGACGTGTGCCAACATCATGTATTTTAAACTTGTTTTGGCTTTTGCTGCTCTCATCTGTATAGGTGTTGCCTCAGGTATGTAGTTACGTTTATTATTTCATGCATAAACGCTGAACGGTCTCTAAGTGGGGATCTTTCATTTGCTGCCAACTTAGTACCCAGGAGCTTTAAAATAGTACTTTATCGTTTAAATTGTTCGCTGTTCATAATTGTAGCCGACATGACACTACAATTGCTCTTGAAGTGAAAGAGTAAATATTAAATTAGACAAAGTTCCAGAGCTTCAAAGAAAGTTTTACAAATTTTACAAATAAAACTTTCTTTTAAACTCTGGAACTTTGTCTAATTTAATAGTACCCACTCAAAGAAACCATATAGAATAATTAATCAAAAAAGGTGAAAGAGTAAACTTGGATTGTATGAAATCAAGATGTAGTCTCATCACTCCGTTTTTACACATCTTTTTTTCTGCAAATGTTTGTCTTTATAACCAGAGACTGTATAGTAGGTATTACGGCACTTTGGCCTGGGAATAATTTATTGAGTGTTGAGAAAGCTAGCATATGGTCGATAGTTTCAAATTATAGTCCAATTGAAGTCACATCTTTTACGGCAAGTTTAGTGTTACTAATCTTTAGGTATATTAATAGAGGATATAATTTTTATCCTGAGATGATTACGTTCTAAAAGTAAGAGAAGATTAATTATTTCAATGTATATTTAGATTATGCTCCAACGTAATGCCGTGTTTAGGTTTACTAATTACGTAGCTGCATACGCTTAATTAGGTTGGAGGAATAACCAATTTGACTGTCATCGGTGCATATAAATGATACCTAGATCTATGAAATTAGACCTTTGCCCATAATTTTATTAGAATATTATGTAAAACAGTTCCTAAGATGGTTCCATATGGAACACTATGAGTGATAGTGGTCATATTCTACCGACCAAAGTCGCAGTGTACAAGAATTGCTCTGAAAAGCTGATGGTTAATCGTGTCAAGTGAAATGTCTTACTTCACCATAATTGTCAAGAGACCTAAATCGGTTGCTTGTAATATAGGTACACGTGGTGATTTGCAGTTAACTGGATTTAATCAGTTTTCATCGTATTTGTTACATGACAAACTTATAAGGAGACTGCGATACAAAACAACAATAAATCACTTGAGATATGATATGGGCAGATTAATAGCTTCGAATACACAATTAAAAATGGAAATAGCTTTATTCTGGGAGATAATAGAGATAGTAAACAAGTTTACCAACCCGTATGTTATTACGTAATCATAAGTTATGCAAATTCTTTATATTTTGCGTGCAATACTCAGAAACCCATTTATTTAAAATTAACTTTTTTCTGCTCTAAGGTACTAACGACATATGGGTATTTTACCATCTCGAAATTAATGTTAATTAATAATACCCTTCTTTGCTCTAAAAGATACATTGCCAAGTTGCCAGCCTGGCGACACCTAGGCGTCAGGTCTTCTGCTGTGTTCGCTAATGTGTGAGCGGAGAAGGGAGCAATTTTGAACAATTCAAATAGTCGCATGTGGTGAATTCTACTATTATGTGGTAATATTAAAAGGACAATACAGAGACGTTTTTATTACTGCCACAAGATTTCCCCTTTTGCCGTTGTCAGTTTGAATCTCAAACTTGACATATCCTAATCTTAACTTCGGGAATACCTTTTCGGTCATGTGCCAGTTATTGGTAGTGGTAGTGGTCTTATACATTTTGTTGAGCAATAATAAATATACATTTTGACTCGTTGAATTACGATATAATTCATCTGCCGTGCCCAGTTGGAGAAGAAAAACGTTAAGAAATGTAGATTTTTAGTTCGTCTGTTTTCAAACTTGGCTTATAATCTCTTTAAAAGTGCATAAAAATGATTGGGGCATGTTTATCTTTTATATGTTTATGGTTATGAAATTGTGATGAAACTTAATAGCGGATAGAGGTAGGTATAAAAGAGCAAGCGGACAAACTTTCAGATGAAGAGCACAAAGAACTTCTTCTTCTGCTATCTAAACAGGACAGGCTACTGGATTTAAATTAAAAAAAAAGGAAAGAAGGGACAAAAAGGCATCTGCCTCAAAGGAACTTCAGAATGTGACACTGTAGTATGTCCTGAGTCAGGTGCCAAGGCGCCTTTAGATTAGTGGGACAATTTCATCACAAATAAGCTTGCGTAGTTTTAAGGAGAAATTATAACTGGTGACTTATCGCTGGTAATTGCAACACCAGCTGGGTTGCAAAAAATCTCCATACTTGCATGGGTAAACGTTTGATCATTTCCTCTAACACACGCTAACTTTCTCTGGCTCATAATAACCCACATCCCAAATGAAAAGCAGTAGTTGCTTGCCTCAACGTGTTACTGTAGTAGCAATGTTCCATCTTTGCTAATACTATGTAACTGCCTCTTTTGCTTTTGTACTTATTTCCCATAAACGGGATGCGTTACGTCTATAATTAGGCTAAAGTTCTACTGTTAAGTGCCCTATTTTACTTATTGATGCGAAATTCTCCCTGCTAGCCCTTGAGGTCCACTATTACTTACGGTACTCCCAAACTTCTGCTTCTCTCGTAGCCTGAAAATTTGCTCCAACCCCGAAATCGGGGTCGTGGGAGGGCTTGTCTAAATAAACACCCAGTTATCAAAACAAAACTCTATTGACTCTTGAAAGTGATAACAACTTTGCGACGTGGACGTGGAGAAGTTTATTGGGCAACGGCCACTGCAATGACGTTTACCTTTGGTTTCGCGTTTTCGGAGATTCTCACTGATATCCGTCCCGATCAAGAAACCCCCGCGAGTTCGCCCTGCTGCAAACTAGGCACAATTAACTAGCACGCCCGATTCTTTTACACGGCGCTGGATTTAATTACTAACGCGAATGAATTTGCCCCAACGAGCAAATTCCTCTTCTACCTTTCTCAATATAAACTCAGGCCGCGACACCACCAGAAGATCTCTCTTCCGCGTGCCGAACTCCTTCACCGCCGCCGCGATTCTCTCTTCATTTCATTTCCACTTATCACCCTACGATATTGTACCCCTCAACTCAAATTTTTCAACGTATACAAAATGTCCAATGAGATGACAATTTTGCTAGCGGAACCAACCCCGATCGGTTAATTACAAATTGGTCTGCGACCGTTAATACCAAACATCACACATTGCTCGCTCCACCTGCTTCTAATGATTCGTCCCTAATTCAAAATTTATTAGAGGCTCACGATGTCAGGGGTTACTCTTTAGCGGCATCTAAACTATCGCCATATTTTAGTGACATTTAACCCACTCTGACAGACTGCCATTAGGTGCATTAGTTATGCCGGAGTTTTACCCCAGAAACCGTTTCAGTTTCAGATCGGTGTGTGTGTAGACATATCGGATTACGTGTGCGAGTTAAAAAAAATCTCGACCCACCCTTCAAGGCGACCGCTACCACCTGCAACCTCGTGGGAAGAAGTGACCACTCAACATTAAATTGCCGAAACTGTATTTACATATAAAAAATCCTACCGATCTACGCCTAAATTATGCTTAATAAATTTACCTATCTATTCTAATATAAACGGGGCATTACAACTAGTTACTGGTAGCGGCTGCGAGCGATGCACCACAACTCGTCTCCAAATATATAAGATTTGATTTCCTTAAACGTATTGAATTTTAGGTTCTAACAACCTTTTCTGCCATTATTGCGAAGCAAACACCGAGGAGGATCCTAAAGCAACCCACAACTGCCGTAAATTAATTAATGTTACCGAAAATAGCGATTGTCTAGGAAGTTGCAGATTTTATGTTGGCTGTAAGTAATAGGTCTTCTTACATACAAATGTAATCTACCTCGTTTTAGCTTATAAAAAAAACAACAAGACCGAATACTTTGTGAACAGAAGTTGTGCTTGGCTTAGTTGTGAAGCCTTAAAGCTTTATCACGGTGTAAACGAATACTGTCAGCAGTGCGTAAGCAGATATTGCAATACTGACAAATATTGATCATTAAGAGAATAAGACCAAGACTGTATAAGGATTGTGACCTTTTTTTCTGCGACTATTAGCACTAATTATATCAGTTATTTGTCTTTAAATTTTTGTTCTTATTTCTTTGACATTATCTAGAAAATGTAATAATAATTATGTTTTAATAAACTTATTTACAGCAACAACCATTAGAAGCCGTTTTTGAGACACTTTGTCCTTCTGTCATCGCCGACACAACGCCTAACTGTTAGCTTCCCTTTCAAGAAAGTAGGATCAGGAATTATTCGCCTCAAATCCCAATTTACTAAACTGTATTCTCTTACAGCTAAGGTGATATTTTTAAGGAAATAAGCACCATCTCTAATTTATTCCAGATTATTGAGTTATTATTTACCCTTCTATCCCTAATCCTTAAGAGGCCAGAAGAGCCGATTACCAGCCGAGGCATACATAACGAGAACCCCCCTCAACCACACACACAATTATGTTATGTCATGTTATGCTTCGTTCAAAATTTAGAAGAGTAAACACAAAGATTTCGTGTCTATTTATTTCACTTAAAGTGAACTTAGACCAACGATATTTATGGCCAGCACGCTATTTGAGCAAGAGAGGGAGCCAAGTACATATCTTTGTTTTGCGGAGTATATGAAAAATTGTAACTCTCAAGAGTTGAAGTAAATATTTCATAATAACTTCTTGAATTAAAGTAAATACATTACTGTATAGTTTTCCGAAAATTTATATTTATGTACATGGTCGCCGGCAGATTCGTACAATTTGAATGAATATAAATTGCGTTTTATAAGCCAAGACAAAGGTTAACCAAATATTAATCGAGGAGAACGTTTTATGGAAAGCTTCCATCACCTTTGCGATGTCGACTATTACTCCTTTTTCTTCTGAAAAGATCGAAGCGTGAGAGTAATCTGAAAATGCACCGCAAAAATATCATTACTTTAAGGAAGCGGGCGGAAGACAATCAACGAGACCGATTTTTTCGATGCGGTTATTTGTGAAAAAGAATTTTTCCTGGAAAAAAGAAAAAGCGACGCACAAAAAGTTCTTAGTAATTGACAGCGTGTGTCGCGACGGTTACGAATGGGACAGAAATAGCTCATTGAAACTAATGGTGTTTCCTTCACTATCTGCAGGATGGCGTGTCTCTGTGTCTGATGTTTCCTCTATTTGAAAGGACATCCCTTCATTTGAAAATTTCACGGTTCAGTCCAATACATCAGATCTTGCTTGCAGAGTGTATGCAAAGCGAAACGAAGCAGGAGCTAACAAAAATTTAAGCTGTAAACAAACAGCGATTAGCGTGTTCGGCATTTTGTGTTTTCCCAAATGTTTTCCTCCCTGTCCTTTTATGTGTCAAATAAATGTCTAGATTTTCAGCGAAGAAAACCTGGGCGGTATCCAATTTCATAGCATAACGAACTAGAACTAAATTGAGTTTCGCCCGTCTCACGATACAAAACATTAATTGTATTTTTCGAATTACTGCTTAGATTGGATCAGGTTATAAAATAATAATAAAATAATTATAACTTCTATAACTGATCTGTGGGATCTAATTAATGTCAGGGTGGAAAGACATGTTCGTGTCAAAAATAGTAATAGGAATATCCAGGTTTACAAATAGGCAACATTCAGGGCCCATTTTCTTCATTGCCTATTTGTAAACCTGGATATTCTTGCTGCCTTCGCATCGATAAGTAGCGTCGCTAGGCGTCCTGGGCATCCATACGGATGCGTTGTAAGTTTGTAGACGTTTTAACTACCAAGGTGCATCATTTCCAATTCTTGCCATCTTTGTATACATATAAGGTGCCGGTTGGCGTCGAAGAAGCGTCCTTCTGCAGGATCAAAAAAAGACAACTTCAAACTACGATATGTTCAAAATATAGCTATAGCCAACTTTGCGCGGTCGATGCAGGATCCGGTCCAGAATATTGCTTTATCGCGTCCTAATAAAGATGAATATCAGAAAATTTAATTCTATTATTATTGTCAACTTATGAAACCATAACCCTCTCTAACACACAACTCATATCCAAATGCATACGTGTAAAAGAACGTGCATAATAAACAGTTGTAAAATGTCTATTATATAGTAATATAGTAAAAGTACGTATTCCTTATACCAATTTCAGTAGTAATTTTAACAAGTAGAATTCTGACCATTCGTATTCGTATATTTGTAGAGCAAGTAAGCAAACCCATCCATCATACGGTAAATTTAAAAAGTATTGTATACGTTTGTCTGATTAATACTAAAAATAGTTATTTATGCAATGAGCGTATAAATGAGGCGTTTTATTACTAAATTCGAACGAACCAATAATCGCCGATTTATACATGAATTGCATACAACGTTTTTTTCTACAATCGATATCCAAAGTAGGCATTTGCGCTCGTATTTGACAACGCAAACGTCATCTTTTTCGAGGAATGTCACTTTGTCGCTTATAAGCGACAAAATGGAAAAAACGCTCGCTCTTCCAATTATTAACTATAAATCAAATATGCATTGCTCAGAGTATCCAATGACAACGAGTAAATGACATCTTTCATTTGGACATAAGATTAAAATAATGTATGATTTGAGTGAAAAATTTAAATTTTTGGAAATATGTGAACTGCTCGATTGTAGAAAAAATCTTGTGTGTAATTCGAGCGCAAATTGATTGTCGATTTCAAGAGATTGCCGCGCTCCTTCGTCGCGCGTCTCTTTCAATCGACAATATATCATTTTGCGCTCTTAATACACAAATAGCTATTTCGTCGACTTCACTGGGGTAGGTAATTTTAAATTCAACTACAAGAAATTACAAACGAAATTATGAGCTTCGACGATTTTTCAATAAATTACAGCTATTGTCGTTGCTATAGTAATGTGTTGTTTTATGCTGTACCGTCAGTCCTCGTAATCGCAGTGGAAGATTATGTTGCTTGCTCTGCTGCGGAGACGATTTAACATTATATCCACTCAAATCAAAAGAAACTTATTGGAACGGTTTCGATCAGTTCGGCAATTGATGGAATACAATGAATTTGAAAGGAGATATTTCCGAAAATGTTACGTTGACATTTTACCTTGAAAAGGTATGTGAAATTAGAATGTAATTAATTGTTTTGCAACTGTATTAACAGTGAAAGATATGGAAATGTTCATCCCTGTGGTCGACGTACTCACTGTTGAAGGTAAAGTAACTGAATACCTTAACAATACCTTATCCGAGGAGCTACACATACATACATCAGGATATGCTTTGCTGAGATCGTTTGGCGACCATACTGGCTGCTGATCTCACTACATTAAAACCGAGATTAAAATGGTTAGGTGGATGGAAGTTCTCAGCTGTTGCCGAAAGTGAATTATTATATAATTGTCATTTCCCTTTAATAAAATGTTTGTTATGTATAAGTGGTTGCTAACGATTAATGGTTGCTAACGTATAATGGTTGGTTGCTAACCATTAATGGTTGCTAACGATTAATAAGCTTCATCATTGTACTCGTTACTAAGGAGTAATTTATATTGTTATCGAGAGGTCGACGAAAATAGTTATTTTAGCAATGAGTGTATAAATGAGGCGTTTTATTGGTGGCGAGTGGACTAAATTCGAACGAACCAATAACCGCCGATTTATACATGAATTGCATACAACGTTTTTTCGTCGACTTCACTGGGGTAGGTAATTTTAAATTCAACTACAAGAAATTACAAACGAAATTATAAGGTCCGACGATTTTTCACTAAAATTACAGCTATTGTCGTTGCTATAGTAATGTGTTGTTTTATGCTGTGCCGTCAGTCCTCGTAATCGCAGTGGAAGATTATGTTGCTTGCTCTGCTGCGGAGGCGATTTTAACATTAAATCCACTCAAATCAAAAGAAACTTATTGCAACGGTTTCGATCAGTTCGGCAATTGATGGAATATAATGAATTTGAAAGGAGATATTTCCGCATATGTCATGTTGACATTTTACCTTGAAAAGGTATGTGAAATTAGAATGTAATTAATTCTTTTGCAACTGTACTAAAGTATGTGTATTAACAGTTAAAGATATGGAAAAGTTCATCTCTGTGGTCGACGTACTCAATGTTGAAGGTAAAGTAACTGAATACCTTAACAATACCTTATCCGAGAAGCTACACAGGATATGCTTTGCTGAGATCGTTGGCGACCATACTGGCTGCTGATCTCACTACATTAAAACGGAGATTAAAATGGTTAGGTGGATGGAAGTTCTCAGCTGTTGCCGAAAGTGAATTGTTATATAAATGTCATTTCCCTTTAATAAAATGGTTGTTATGTATAAGTTGTTGCTAACGATTAATGGTTGCTAATGCATAATGGTTATGTATAAGTGGTTGCTAACGATTAATGGTTGCTAACGTCTAATGGTTTCTAACCATTAATGAGCTTGATTACTACACCCGTAACTAAGGTGTAATTTATGCTGTTATCGAGAGGTCGACGAAAAACGTTTATTATCCACTAATTTTGATACGTAGAATATACCTAATTTTTACTCTTAGAAGAAGTAGGTAAACCAATATTTTACGTTTATCATACGTTTATCAAATTATTGCTAAAAGAACGTTTATTTATATACATATCAACGTAGAACACGAACTCTATGGTTAATATATTCATACATGAATAAAAATCGTATTTTAAACGTAAGGTAGGTATAAAATTGGTCTACAAAAAAAACTACCTTATGTATACCGAATTTAACCTTTCAAAGCGCTTTAAAAACGTTTTTTAAACGTAAGTTGTTGGCTGGGAAGTTACTAATATGGTTTCATTATTATTAGTTTAAGATAAACTGATGCCGCAACATATTAGTCGGATAGAAAAAATTGGCACAGTATTGTTATATTTATACACCCTTCATGCTTGCAAGTGCATGTAATATAAATAAGAAGGACTAATATCCTATTACTATTTTTGACACGAACATGTCTTTCCACCCTCACATTAATTAGATCCAACAGATCAGTTATAGAAGTTTGTAACTTGAGCCAATCTAATCAGTAATTCGAAAAATACAATTAAT